AAAAGATGAATATCAAAAATAAATAAGTCCTAACACAATCACAATCCGTGCAACTCAGTTAAAAAATCATAAACTAAAAGACGGAGATTGTCAGATTGCATCAAAACAATTCCAAATCAATACTGCCTACAAAAAAGTAATTTACTACAAAGACATGTAGAGAGTGTTAAAAATATATAAATATACATATTTTCCTATAAATAGATAGGAAAATAAAAATACAAACCAAAAGAAAGTTCATAGCAATCTTAATGTCTAAGAAAATAAAATGAACACAATAGTATCCTAAGATGAAGGAAAGATATTATATACTGGCTAAAAGAACTATGGAAAAAGAACATACAGCCATCATAAATAAATAGGTAACTAACAAAGTAGCTTCAAAATATTCAACCAACAGAATGGCAGGGAGAAAAAGGCATTTGGAGAATTTGGAGATTTTAATACATTCTATTTAGCAGCTGCTAGATTAAGCAAAAAAAAAAAAGAGCCAAGTATCTGTAAAACACAATTAATAAGTTTGAATCTTTAAGTATATATAGAATTCTACACCCACATGCAGTTTTTCTTTTAAAGCACCTATGGAAGATACTCTTTCAATATAGATGTTAGTCAATAAAAGGAAGACTCAAGAAATTCCAAGATAGCAGTAGCATACAGAATATATTCTCTGATAATAATGCAATAAATTAGATATTCATAACAAAAGGATAGCTTGAAAATAATCCTATGTTTAGAAACAAAATAATATATATTATTAAATATCTTGATTAAATAAGGCGATCATAAAGATTATTAAGAAATACTTAGAACAAAATAGTTGAAAATTATGGGATATGACTAAAGGAGTATATGGAAGGTATTATAGCATTAGCCACTTTTGCTAGGAAACAAAAAATATTAAGTATAAAGGAGGCAAGCATTAGAATGAAGATGCTAGAAAGAAGAACAAGAGAGCAATCAAACAAAACACTAGAAGCCAGGAAATGACAAAAATAAGAGGAGAAATTTGCAAAATTGGGAACATCTCCAAAATAAAGGGAAAGATTAACAAAGTAAAAACTACTTTAAAGAGATTAACCAACTATACAGACCTCTGGCAATTCTAATCAAGATATAAATAGAATATATATATATATACATATATATATACAAATTATAAAATGAAAAAATGAAATAGTTATGGATACAACAGGTACAAAAATCAAAGCATTATAATCAGCTATACACTGATTTGAAAGAATTTGAAAATGTAGATGAAACTGATAAATTTCTAAAAAAAAATACAAAATGCCAAATTGTACAAGAAGAAATTGAGAACTTAGAATCAACCAAAATGCTCTGAACAAACTGAAGTGTCAATAGTATTTCAAAACCTTCCAAATCTATTTTCTTGAGAGACTTGTACCAAATTCTTGAGGGCCAGTTAATTCCTATCTTATATAAAACTGAAAAAGAGTGAAATTTATCCAGCTCTATTTTATGAAGCTACTATAATCTCAACTATAAAAACCAGATAAAGGAAATATAAGAAAGTATAATTATTGGTCTATATCATTTATGAACATAGACATAAAATCGTAACTAAACAAATCCAATAAAGATCTGAAAAATAGCCCCAAATAATCAGTTATGTTTCATCTCAGTCATGCAAGGAGGTTTTATTAAAAGTAAACCTAGTAATGTAATGAATCACAAAAATAAACCTGAAGTGGTAAAAAAAAATCATATATAATTACATTAATCAATAAAGAAAAAGCATCTGTGAAGTTCACAATCTTTTTATGATGAAGACTCCCAGCAAATTAAAATTAAAAGGGAACTTCTTTGATTTAGTTAAGTTTATAAACCCATGCCTCTTAGATTTCTCTCCAAAAAAGTTTATAAATGAAATCATACAATGTCTGGCATTTATTTCAGAAGAAATTAGTGTCTGGGAAGGGGAGTGGAGATAGAGCAGATGAAACAAGATTACCCACATACTGTAATAGTTGTAAGACAATTATGGATACACTGTGGTCAGTTATATTATTTTTATTACTTTGGCAGAGTGTAAAGATTAAATACCAAAAACCTACTGCAAGCATCTTACTTAATGGAGAAACTTGAGATGTGTTCCCTTCAAGAACACTTACTATTACTTCTTTTAAAGATAGTACTGGGGGTTCTGGCCAACATTATTTAGTAAAGGGAAAAAAGAAAGAAAGAAGGAAAGAAGATATACAAGAATTAAAATGGAAGACATTAACAGGACTTTATTTGTAGATAAAATGATCATCTACCTAGAAATACCAGTAGTATTAAAGGTAAAATTATTGCAACAAGTTTACCAAATACAAGTTCAATTTCAAAAATAGTATTTCTCTATTCTAGTAATAAGCAACTAAATAAAACAATTTTAAAAACAGTATCAATAAACACTCAAAAGAATCTAAAAATAAACAAGAACGTATAAAATCTCTGTGGAGAAAAAATTTAAACTATTAAAGGACAAAATGATCTGAATAAATGGAAAAACTTAAATATTATGAATAGTGAATTCTTCAAAAATTAAACTATAAATTCAATGAAACTATATATTGAAATTCCAGTAGGATTTAAAAAATATATTTGATATTTAAAATGTTCATGAGGAAATAAATGTCTAAACATAGTTAATTCAATCTTGAAAAAGTAGAGAAGAGGAACCTCCCTTGCCAGGTGTTCTAAGGCATATACTGCCAAAATAATCAAACAAGTAGGCCGACTGGAATAGTATAGAGATCTCAGAGACAGTTCCTTATTCATATGGGAACTTACACAATAAAGGTTATGTCACATGTCGGATTATTGAGAAATGATGCATTTGTAGCATCATGAGAATTGGTACATGGATCGAAGGTGAACTCTAGTTGAACTAAATATTTTTATGCCCAGGAAAAATGATAACAGTAATAGAATAAAATGAAGAAGCACAACGTTGTGACTTAGAGATAAGAAGTGATTTCTGGAAGTAAATCTCCTCTGCAGGAACCATGAGGAAAAAGTTATTTGACTAATCAGTTGAATAATTTTCATCAACAAAGGACACTATAGATGAAGTTAACAAATAGATGACAAACTGAGCTATGTTCAAGAGTGAGATATCACTTTCATCTGTTACAAGCTAGAAAAGGTCAAATGTGGGCCAAATGGTAGGGATATGGAAAGACTAACAATGGCAAAAATCTTACATGGGCAGTTTGGAAAGTGAACTGGCATTATTTAATTCTATCAAATGAACCCCTATCTATGACCCAGCAATGCCAGTGCTGGGTATATATTCTCCAAAAAATCATATGCAGGTTCATAAAGAGGGATTTTGTACATTTGAAGCACTGTTTGGTTTAGCCAAATGTTGGAACAATCAATACGTGTATTGCTGGAGGAGTGGATAGGTAAACTATTATGGAATACACATCACAGAATACTATAAATCAGTGAAAAGTATCACAAAAGAAGTACAAATAGCAATGTGGATGGTTCCTTCCTAAAAATATATAGTGCTGAATATAAAATAATCAGAAGAAAAAATCTCTAGTACAATACACTGAAAATGCATACACACATAACAAGACAAAAATGCACATTTTAGAATATAAACATAAATATACACATTCAATCATTATAAGAGGACATTTTGAGGGAAAGGGAATTTGAGTGGGAAATGGGGATAAAATGGAGTACACAGATGCAGGGGTCTTGCCGAGACTGCAATTGCTAGTTCCACGAGAATGGGGATTTTGGTCTGTGCTCAATAAATATTTGTTGAATGCATGAATGTGACATGCGTTGAGAAAGATGATTCTTTTATATCTCTATATCTGAGTTCCAAATATTAGGTTGAGTCACATGAAATTGCAAACTTTTTTTGTGGGTCAAAAGTGGCCCAAATATCAGCAATTTCATATAATTCAAACTCACAGGGAAAATTTAGGAATAATTAAAGGTATTTAGAGAAATAGTAGGCAGCCACTCTAAAGATTTGTTAGAGATAACATGAAAGAAACCAAATTAGATTCTACTTTTTCATGATTAATTAAAACCACATGTACTGATGTAGTTGAGATAGGACAACTGCCCTTAAAACCTAAGGAAATCCTTAGCAAGTCTTAGTATTATTAACTGTAAGCTGCACAGTAGATCTCTAGGACAAATTCATCTTGCATAAATGAAACTTTGTACCCTTTGGCCAACACCTTCCCATCCCATCCCTCACCCCCACCCCCTGGTAACTACCATACTGGTCTCTGCTTCTGTGAGTTTGACTGTTTTGGATCCTCATGTAAGTGGGATCATGTAGACTTTGTTCTTTGGAGGAATTTTCAATTTTATAGAAAGAATTGTTCAGAGGACACATAAGAGAAAATGGAAATTGAAAGGATGCACAAGTGTCTTAGCTAGAACTTTTTTTTTCAACTGAGTAAACCTGAGTTTACCTTTCATTCCTAAACTTTTTGGAGCTGTTATTAAGTTCTTCCCTGAAAGTTTCTCATCATTCTTCCTGCTGTGTCTTACTCTATTAGGTACACCTGACAGCTCTGTTTTTCACTCAGTAAATAATTCCATATTGACTGCTGTAATGAAATAGGCATTTTGTTTCCTAAGAATGAAGCAAAAAGTATAAGGGTAAAATTTTATTTTCATTTGTTGCATCAACTGTATTTTTCTTGAATAAGCGGAAAGTCAAGAAAAACACAATACAGCTGAGAACTACTTTTCTAATAGGTCAAAGAATTGAACTAGAATGATGAATTGAGGGGAAAAAAGATGTAGCATTTGTGATCCCCAGTGACTTAAGCTGTTTCCAGTTCATTTTTTGAACCTGCACCTATTAAATGAAAATCTCCGCTTGCAGCAATAAAATGATGCAATTTTTGTTCAATGGGATTTGATTTCATAAAGGTCAGGGAAAGACAGCCCAACTTACTTCACTGATCTTCAATGTACTTTGTGTGAAATAGCTTCAAAGGAAATTTTACCTTGACAGTGAAGCGTTTTTTCTTTGGTGGATCCCAAACCGAGCCAGTTGAATGAATGAATGCATGCAAAGGCATGAAGGATGTCACCAAAACATATGCTTTAAGAATCACAGATAGATCTTTAGCTCTAAAGATTGTTTCATGTGGAGCAAGGATGGCCGTTTGATTCCTAAAAAATGAAACAACACAGTTAATGCTCCATAATTTGGAGTGTGTAATTTGTAAATTACCTCAAAGCTTGGTACACTCCTCTATCCTCTAGCCTTCAGTGGGTGGGTTTCCTTAAGCAATTTCACTGCGTATTAGCATCACTACTGGGAGATACACAGTTACACAGATAAGGGTTCAAATTGATAAGAATTCTCCACTGTGGCAGATTTAACAAAAACATTCTTTAAAAGAAAGAAAGGTAGGAAACTAGTACCTAAAGTAAGGTTTGAAGATTTAAAAAATTTAAATTAGTCACATATGGTACAATTGCAACAAAAGTGATAAAAGGACAGCAGTGAAACACCTGGAATCTTCCAGTTCTGCCCTGCCTCCCTTTGCTCTATCTTTCCCTCTGCAAGAAAAGATACTAAGTTTCTTAATAGTGGCCAGGTCACCAAAAATATGCCAAAATACTTGTCCCACTAGTTTGATTCTACCTAATAACTCTCACCAATAATTAAGAGTTAATTTAAGGGAGGAAGTATTAGGAAAACACTTTAGTCTGCAAAGGAAAAATAACGGCAGTTTGTTTTGTGAGGAAATGAAAATGAAATACATTTTCATTGTAAATGATAATGAATTATATTTTAATTATAAATGATACCAAAATGTATAACTATTTGCTTTCCTGCACAGTGTTTCCACATTTCACATAGCTAAGTTCAAATAGTGAAAAGACTATTATGCTATTTCAATATTGAAGCCTGGTAACAGAAAACACATGTGGTTCTTCAATAAATACTATTAACTCTGGAAATACTACCTAATAATTATAAATAAGATGAATCAAATTATTTGTTTCTTAGATACAATAATGAAAATCTCTTAATTTTTCACTGTAATTTGTCTATATTACAAAATCATTTCTGTGAAGGTAACTTGAATAACTTGGTACCTGGCAGTTGCTTTCTTAGATCCTGGGGCCCATAAAAAAAATAACACGGAAAAAAAATCATTCAGCCATATTCATAGACTAAGGCAATGTCATCCGAGTATAAAAATGGAAGTTAGAATTTTATAGTTTCACATTGTCAAGGTTTTAAATTCGATTTCCATTAATGTGACCTCCTGGGTAAGAATCCTGTTTACCCAGATGCCTATTCTATGGTAGGAAAGGTTTGAACAAGTCTCAAAGAAATCCATGATAGCATTCTTTATTATGAAAGATAGCCAACAATTTATGTAACAGAACTTAATCATTCAAACATGTAAAACCGCCAAATCTGCTCAGTGTTTTTCTCTTGTTTGCTGCCTCCTAACATGCATGCTGGATATAACAATTCAAAATGATTAGCTTACAGCTGTTCTTGCCTCCACTGCCTTGGTTTCCACGTACGCGGCTTCATTGTTTTTAAAAGGTGTCTCGAAGTACTCAGCTTTAATTGCGTGCTCTGATCCAGACACACAGAGGGGCTCACTGGAAGTCGTAAGTCTGGAAAGATGCAAAAGAGCAAAAGACAGTCATTCTACTGTTTCCTTTTGGAATTGCTTTCAAAATAGGGTCTGCTGTGTTAAACTACAAGGTTTTTGTGGTATGTTCTCTTACCACAGACTAGGAAAATAATTGTAGTAACCTTTCAAATTTTCTTGCTCAGAAAGGGAGGTCCAGATGATGTCTCCAACTATCCCCCACCAAACGGATCTATCTACAAGGCCAGAGACGCACTCTCAGTACAGGGAAGATGGCTGCAGGAGCTGACTTGTTTGCAGTGAGAGTATCACATAGATAGCTTGAGTTGGTACCCTGACAGTACGGTCCCTCACATGCTAGGGTCTGTCATGCTTCATCACCTTGGTGACATCAATAACAGTGTTTTATTGTTTTGTAAAATAATATTTACTGGGCTTTTGAAGTACATAAAAATAAAGACCAACTAATGACTTACTGAAGAACGCTCACTTGATTTTTTTTTTTGAAAAACATAGGTATGTACATAATTAGAAAAATCAATTGTACAGAAAGCTCTCAAATGAAAAAGAAAAAGCAGCTGGCTATCCACACCCATTTAGGGCTTCTCCCCACCAAAGCCAAAGCTTACATATTCACTTTTGAAGTCTAGAAAGCACACAGTGGGTAAGATCCATATGACTTTTTAGTACGTAAGTTGACAGAGAAATCAGTATATTTACATCAACCTACACACAGGCATACCTCGGAGAAACTGCAGCTTTATTCCAGACCACCACAATACAGCAAATGTTGCAATAAAGCTAATCAAATGGATTTTTTGGTTTCCCACTGCACATAAAAGTTATGTTTACACTATAGTGGAGTCTATTAAGTATGTGATGGCACTGTGCCTAAAAAAATGTAGATATCTTAATTTCAAAATATATTATTGTTAAAAAACGCTACCATCATTTGAGCTTTTGGCGAGTTGTAACCACTGATCACAGATCACTGCAGCAAATACAACAATCGTGAAACAGTTTGAAATTTCCTGAGAATTACCAGATGTGACATAGTGCCATGAAGTGAGCAAATGCTGTTGGAAAGTGGCACAAACAGACTTTTGCTCCATGTGGGGTTGGCACAGACCTTCAGTTTATAAAAAATGCAGTGTCTGCTAAGTGCAGTATGAAGTGTGCCTACATGTAGGTATTACTGTTTTTCTATTGATCCTAAAGAGACATTACAGTAGTCCTCCTTCATCTGTAGTTTCACTTTCCAGTTTCAGTTACCCGAGGTCCACCAAGGTCCTGGAGCATGATGAAGGTCAATAGTTGCCTAAGGCTATGTTGCAATGTCTACATCATTCACCTCACTTCACCTCATTATGTAGGCATTTTATACTCTCACATCACGAGAAGAAGGGTGAATAGAGTACACTAATATATTTTGAGAGAGTTAGAGAGATCACATTCACATAACTTTTATTAGAATATATTGTTATAATTGTTCTATTTTATTATTGTTAATTTCTTACTGTGCCTGACTGATAAATTAATCATAGGTATATGTATGAATAGGAAAAGACATGGTTTATATAGGGTTTCAGGCATCCACTCTAGGCCTTAGAACACATGCCCTGTGGATAAGGAGAGACCCCTGTAAGATGGTTTATGTGTGGCTTATATATATATATATATATATATATATATAGCTATCGAACCTCCTGGAGTCCTTTCCATATTAGCATATACTACAGAATTACCTTATACTTCTTAACGGCTTAAGGTGTTCCATTAAATCAATATATATTTAATTTAGCCATTCTTTTACTTTGTGTATTGAGATTATTTTTGTAATGTTTGTCTTTTGTGATTTCAAAAATACTGCAATGAATGCTCTCATATGTATACTTTTATAAGTTTATCTAGGGGAAGATTCTAATCTATATGTGTAACTGCCTGGTCAATGAGTAAATGCATTATAAATTTGATAGACATACTGAATTGCCTTCCACAAAGATTGCCCCAATTTCCATTCTCTCCAACAGCATATGAGAGTGGTTGTTTCCTTACTGCCAAAGTCACAGAGCTTTATTTTTAAATTATACAATTTATCTAGCCCTCAAAATGGAACAAAGCCTTTAAATTATTTTCCCCCTTGTACACGTTTCATCAATACTAATATAGTCCAATTTAAAACACTTCACACTCTTAAGTAAAAGTCAGCAGAAGTCAAGCTGTTCAATGCATTCCCATATCTCATTATTTAGCACAGTGTGATCTTTCTCAAAAAAACGATAGCCTATTTGTAAGGCTTCCCTATTAAAGATGTTCTAATACATCATAATAAAAGAAATATTCAAATTGCTTGTTTCTGGAGGTGACAAATGAAGAGTCATTAAGGTAATTGCTTTTCTTGGGAATCACAACTTAAAAAGAGTTGAAGTATTTATATAATTCTTTAAATTTGTAGTAAGAAAATAAGTGTTCTTTTTTTTCACTAGTCTTATGTGTTAGGATTAAATTTGCAATAAGAATGTGTTCTTTAATTTTTCATTATATAGACATTTTTTAGAATTTATTACAAGGGAAAACTTTCTGTCTCCAGAAGATCTAATTTGTAGTGTGTTTTGTTACTATGAAAACAGTATAATTGACTGATTTCTCTTTTACCCTGGCTGCCAGGAAGCAACAGTACCAGTTTGAAGAGAAGCTACACATACTAAGTATTTCACCAAGATAAATAGCTCGATGGTTTTGAGGAAGTAGTCAGCAAATATGTCAGAAGAGTAAACAATTTTACATCACCTTTTTTTGGTTGAGTTCAAGGGGAGGAGACTATAACATAACATATAGTTGAAGGACTCCAATATAGCAATTGCCAAGTTCATGTCAGATTCCCCTGAAATGGTGTTTGAACAATGGAACTGAATACTGATTCAAGTCACCGTTACCTTTCATGACATATACATAGACTTGCCGTTATATTATTACAGATTTGGAGGTTATTTTTAATGATCCTAAAATAACAAAACCAAAAAACCCCCCAAAACTCTGACATCTAAAATCATTCTATTTTCCTTGATTACAGTCAAAAATTAAAAATAAGCTCCATTAGTACCTAAAAAAGCTGCATTTCATGGAGGATTCATAAATAATTGTGGAAACTTTAAATATCATAGGTTCTTATTTAACAGAGTCAAAGATTTGTCAGAACTCACTGTTCCTAATATCTTTCATGGCATATCTACCAAGGGCTTTCTCAATAGACTGGCCTAATTCACTTCCTTAATCTTCCATCCCTTCTCTCCCTTGACCCCCCAACACATACCAGGAGCCTAGCAATCTCCTATAGACAATGCCAAAACTAGTTTCTGTTTTTGGAAGGAGTTCGGGAGATGAGGCTCTATGATACAGTCTTTTAAATGGCCTTGTAATTCATTAACATATACTTATTAAATATTTTCAGAAAGTCATTAAATATGGAAGGCATAGTGTGCATCTTTAGGGTTTTCTTACCCCACACTATGAGAACCAAACAGATAGCAGATACAGAAATGAACTATCACATTGCTACAGTAGGCAGTTAGTAAGACATGAGTGGCAGAAAGGAAGGGAGAGGTGGAAGCTGGTAACCTTTCTAGATGGGTTTATACCCACTCTGGCTAAAACAAGAAGTTAAAACGGAGCCAGGAAATCCCCAAAGCTGATGCCTGCACAAAGGACATCAAGACATGTCCAAGAGACCTTGGCCCATTCATATGACCATTAGAACATTTCCCCGTGTGGGTTTTTCTGTCTGCATTATGAGTAAGAGCATGCTCAGAGCCAGAGCAGTTATATAATTTGAACTTGTTAACCCACTCCTCACACTTTCCTATAAAACCAATAAGTATTCAAATAAACAGGGCTGGTCCTGACCTCTCAGACTGCCCACTCTCTCTTTCAGAGTGTATTTCCACTTTGCTAGATGAAGCTGTTTTCTAGATTTCTCATTTCTTATTCCTTCTCCCTGCATGACAGAGGAGGGGCGAGAAAGACCTCTCCCAGTAACAATATGTGCTTTTATTTATTGACTACTCTTAGCTTATTTTAAAGATTTCTGCAGCCCATAACTTTACCACTTAGAGAAGAAATGAACAATCTGTTAGGGATGCATGAAGATAGCTTTTCTCGTGACTTGTAGTACCTGGCTGGTCAGGCACTGAGTATCTACTCACTGTGGTTTTGTGAAAAGGAAGATTAAACCAGAACCATGAGGCCTAGGGTTTCATTTTGATTCTTACCAACCAATATTTAGTGGGCATGTGACATTGGCAAGGAGTCTTTAAGCATACAGAATGTCATTTCCCATGAGTCTTCAGGATGTCCCACATTACTGAACACAGTATTGATACATAACAAGGGTTCAGTAAATGTTTGTTCTAGCAAGGAACTAGCTTTGGGGGATTAAGCCAATGTACTTTTAGAGAATAAAATGGTATTCCAATGTATTAAAAATATTTTATTTGGTTATTTTTTTCCCTTCCATTATGGGGCATATAATTATATACATCACAGGCAAACACTAACCACTGGAAAACACTTGTAATAGCAAAGATTAGCTGCCAAATTTATATTGTATTTGATTTAATGTTTTCCCCCAGAGCTAATAATTAATGGGAAAGTAATAGTGGAAAGTGTAATTATATTTCACAGATGTTTGAATATTGTCTTGCATTTCATGTTAGGAAGCTAAACTTGGCCAGTATTTTCTTATTTTAAAACTTCCAGTGAAGATGAAAGGTCTTAATAATTAACAGTTAGTTTTAAGATCAGAAGTACAAATACCAGCAGAAAGAACAATTAATACATCCACAAATAGTACCATTTGTGGATGTATTAATTGTTCTTTCTGCTGGAGGACATTAACAAGTCTTAGTCCTTAGCCTGCAGGTATAAAAGCTATGCAAATATATCCTCAGAATTTACATGCATAGCAAATATAGATTAATACATGCACAAACTGACATCATAGCCAGGAAACAACTCTCAATGAGG